AACTACAAATTAGCATTGTTGAACTAAGCCTTTACAGAGAGTTGGTCACCATCTTCCTTTTAGGTGCGACCTTTGAGCTGCCTCTACATTCTTTTAGAGGATGCCATGGACATCCCCTTTATTAGAGACTAGTCTCCTATTCCCTCCAATGTACCCAAAAAGAGAAAAAAAGAGTCACAAAATAAGAATGATCTAAGGAATGGCATTTCCTTGCTGATTACATTTAATCATTACAGGAAGCACATGTAAACCAGATTTTGCCAATACCAATGTTGCCTAAAATTTTAAGAAAGAGAACTGATTTTATTACAGAGGATGTATCCGTATAAGTGTGTGTGTTACAATTATCTCTGCGTAGCTTCGAGAAGATATTATACATAAAATATATTTAACATACATGTTGACAGGTCGTAGACAACAGTTCTGTCCAACCACATGTTGAGGTTCATACCTGCAAGCTTGCAACAGTTGTTCACCTTGGAACGCAACTCAGAACTGCAGTTCAATATGAGATTTTACAGTTTCCTTCCAGTTCTATCCAAAATTCATGATTGTGTTGAAGGTCATTGATAGAAGGAGGTGGGTTTTAGGTCAAGTTATGAAAGTAGGAAGTAAATATGGCACCCATGGTATGTGATAGAAATGATAGCTCATGCTAAGTTTGATGAATGAAGATCTAGGGTCTGGAGTATATCAAGGGCAGAAAACTAGTCAACACTCTCTGACTGTCTTGGTGGTATGGGAAGTTCAAGGATAATCAAGAAATAACATCGTTCTGACTCTCTGATGTATTGGACCTCACCATTCATAAGCTTTAAGATTTTTCTGCACATGCTAAGTCCTAGGCCCTCCTGAGTTATCCATCTACTGCTATGGAACATGTCTCCAACTAATTCAGGGGGAAGGCCTTCCCCAGGACAAACCATCCTTCACAAGAGATACAGCTGTTAATGGAATGAGCATCTAGTGCTAAATAATATTTGATTTATGTCAGCAATAATATGATAAAAAGAATAAATTAAATTCTGCTTATTTTCTATTTTGTTCGTGCTACATAAGCTATAGACAGAAGCCATAATTGAAAAGTGTCTGAAGCACATTAATAATTGTATCAAAGTGAAACATGGTAGGAAAGGTATCCCAAAATTTACATTGTTAGTAGTAACAATGTACTCTGCATTTTCAGATTTTCAGATCTTCAGAAGAATGTAGCCTATGATTGGATAGAATGGAGATAAATGATTCATGCAACCAATCCCAGCTAAATATACTCAGAAGAAGGCGGGTTAAACATACCTGAATTCTGTATGCACGATAGTTAGTCCATCAGATATTTGCTTCATGGATGGATGAACATGAATCTCTACCCAACCTTCAGTAGATGGTGCATAACGCACCATATTCAACAAAAATTCAGCCAAGACCTGCTGAATCCTTGCCTGATCACCATAAACAGCCAGAGTTTTGATCTCCTCTGGAATATCCCGAATCAATTGCAGATTTCTTTCCCTCAGCAATAGCATCACTTGACTAACAACAGCATTTATGACATTCCCAAGGGAAAATTTGGCCTTTTCAAGCTCCATTGATCTAATTTCAAGAACATAGCAAAAATCAGATCATTGATTGCTCATTAAAATTTATGCTCTAATCAGTACATTACAGATATTGAAAAGGATAGGAGTTACACAAAGACAGGATAAAACATAAGATGCTAGCTCTGTCAGTAACATCTTACCATTTACCCCTGATTCCCAGAGCAAGATTCTTAATGAAACTATAGAGAGTAAATACAAGGTTTCATGCTCAATCCCTATGCTATTATACTTGCAATCAATTGACAATATACATTTTCAGATTGATCTCCCCACAACTTTAATAACCTTCCAAACGAACCAATACTTGAAATCAAGTAGTTGCCCTTAACAACATAATAACAAAACGCCTATGAGGTTTAAATCCATACAAGGCATAATGAAAGGAATACAAGTTTCTCTTGAAAGCCATACAGCAGAATGCCCAGAGAAAATGAAAGCAGGGAATGGGAATAAATTTTATAGTATGGCTAAGGTTAATGTTTATATACCAAAAGAACTGATGTTTAATCAAAACTGAAGAAACTATGAGATATACGGCCTAATTACAATCTAGCTGTGAGTTAGATGACTGAAACATAAAGAGTTGATGGCATCAGAATCAGATTGATGTCCCCTAGAAGTGCAGTTATGGAGAAACAATTTAACTAAATAAATCTTCATGACAAACATGAACATGGTGCAAACTAAATAACTTGCGTCTGAAATTATATGCATGGGAAGACTAACCCATCTTCAATGCTCTCCAGATCAACATCCCTTAAAATCTTCACAATTTGCCTCTCACATGCAGCACTGGTCTCCAGAAACTGCTTTTGATCTTCTGTTAAAATTGTAGCTCCCAAGAGTGAGTTAGTAAAACGGATCCCATTTAACGGACTCTTTACTTCCTGGCAAATATAAGCCAACTCTTTCATCCTTGATGATCGGTTCCTTTCCTGTTGCCTTTGGACCTTCAGTGCTTGTTGCAACTCTGGGCTTGCAATTTGCAGGAAGCAAAAGGCACCAATAATCTGTCCCTCCATATTGACCCTCTTGTTTGCCGTCAAGAGTGCTTGGACATATTTCCCATTTCGGTCAAAGAATGAAAAAGGAAACTTGTCTGTATCCTCTCCTCCAATTGCATTGTGCAAAACAATCATAAATTTGGTCGAAGCATCTGGACCCTTGAGATGACAGCAACTGCCAAAAATCTCACCAACCAGCATCTTTCCTATAATTTCTTCTCTCGACCACCCTGTGAGCTTTTCCATAGCAGTACTCCACTCCAAGCAACATGTGTTTTCATCTGAAGCAAATATAGGAGGAATCAAAGGGTTGGGACTATGGATGATGGCCTTGTAATCACCTTGTATGTTGATGAATTTGTCCATCACCACCTTATGGCCAGTGACATCCTGACCAACAAAGCAAACTCCAACTATATTATTTGTGTAATCCTTGCTAGAGCAAGCATTGACCACCACATATATAGCCTTATGATCTTCTGAGCCAAATGTCTTCAATTTTATCTCTACATTCTTATCTTCTTCACCTGCATTAATTAATTGGAAGATCAATGCACCTTAAAAGACAATACTGAGCTTCAGGGATATGATTAATAGGGGACATTGAATGATTTCAACTAAGCCTCCATTCTATGGAGTAGATGATGGAAAGAAGAATTCCCATTACAATATAAAGCCATTGATGTAGATTTTTTGGATAACAGGAAATGAAGTTCCATTTCCAGTTAAAACTAACCCTTCTGGCCATGGATAATATGAAAAAAACATCCACCAACCATTAAGTACACATGCAAATTAATTAAGGCAACTTGAGTAATCAACAGTTTTCTCTTCATATTAAAAATATAGAATATTCATGTAGGGTATACATATCTATATCTTCATCTTCAGAAGCCACTCAGGAAAACATGATCTTTGTAGCACTCTAAGCATAAAATCACTACCAAACTGCAAAACAGGTAACAATCTCTTAAGTTTCTGTTTGTTTTACCCCTTTTTCGCCTGAAGTTCATAACAAAGAGTACATTGACTGGAATCATTGCATTTCTGCAAGGACGTCCAAACACACTTCAAAATTTTTTGAGTAAGGAGGAAAAGAGGCAACAGATGTTAAAATTTTTTTTTTTTTTTTTTTAAAACTACCTTGCAAAGCACGATAAAGAAGCTTGTCAACATTTTCTTGATATTCCTTATAAACAAGATCATGAACAAGGGACTTCCCCATAGCTTCCTCAACTGACAGACTTGTCAACTCTGCAACCTTCGCATTCCATCCATTAATGCAGCCATCAATATCTACAGCAAATATAGGAGCAGTTGCTGTCTCTATTAATCTCACCATTTCTCTTGCAACTGAGCTGAGCTCATCCACTCCTTGTAGCTCTAGCTCCCCTATCTTGGCATGCACAACAGCCTTAGAATTGGTAGGTTCAGCATCCTTAAATGAGTCCCGCAAAATAAGCTGCAATGAGTGGATTGCATCCATCTCTGCATTATCCCAAGGCAAACTCCGACTCTTGACTACTTCCAGAAATGCCTTGAAGGAAGATCGTGGATGCATCCTCTGTCCATCATCCTTATCTTCTGGATGATGCTTTGCGCCACCCCATTTGATCTCTTTTGCTGTGTGGGATCGGAACCAGAATAGAAAATCCCTTTTGGTGACGTAAGCAACAGCCATTCCACAGACTGCATCCCCAAGCGAGGCTGCCCCAGGGTAGCCAGCATCAGCCAAACTATCTGTGCTTAAACCTGTTGAGTCTCCATGGCATGCCAATAACCATTCCACAATTTCTTTTATCTGAGCCTCAGTAGGCGTCACACCTTGTGGATAGTACTTGCATTGGTAATAAAGTGCAGCACCATCACATTTCACAAGGTCCATGATGCTGGGACTTTGAGTAACAATTCCAGCAGGGGAGTCACGAAGGAGCATATCACACAAAAGAGTCTGGGTCCATAACACACGTTTTTCTGACAATTGAGATGCCAATTGTAATTCCATATTCAATTGCAGGCCAAAGGCCTGCATTAAAAACTCACAAGCATACTGAAGCGGAAAAGGAATGCATCTGGCAGACGTGTGATGGCAAACAACAAGACCCCAAAGCCTCGTTGAGTTCCTTCCACCAAGACCTTCCTCATCATTTCCATTAAGGACAACTGCCATTGCCAAGGAAGCAATTGACCCCATATTAGCCATATACTGCGCATGGCAACCATGAGGAGCTCGAAGTGTAGAACCAACCAAGCAAAGAGGCTGTATTAACCTATCATCCTGAATAATTCGAACAGGTGTAGCATTGCAATCCACTATCATCCTAACCCTGTTCTGCTTAAACAAAAACCTTGATGCTTGAGGAATGTCAGTGGCAGGATAATGCAAACCAATGTAGGGCTCCAAGTCAGGCCTCTTACTTTCAGCCACAACCTCACCATGCTCATCTTCATGAAATCTATACACCATGACCCTATCATATCCAGTTAGCTCTCTCACAAGATGCACAACAGTATCACACAAAAGCTGAATATCCCCACCAGGAAGTGACTGCAACTGCGAAATTGCACGCACAGCTAACTTCTGTGACTGAACAGCCCCAGCGATGGACAGGGCAGGGTCCTCCGTTGTCGCAGGCTCCAAATCAATCACAATACCAACATCAACTCTATGCAAAATCGCGTAAAAGGGCTTCCCAGAATTCTTGGAGTGAATCCAAACCGGATTCAACAACGTAATTTCTCGCGCCCCAAATGCTTTCTCCAGCAGAATTCCACTAGAAGGCGTGAAAAGAGTACGCACATCGGTCCCAATTGCGAGAAACTCAGGCTTCTCAAGACTGGGCACTGATTGATGAGTTAACCCGAGCATCTCGCAGGTGTTCTCGCTGTACGCAATTACGCGAAAACTGGGCTCGTCGACGGCAATCATGCAGCCGAAAGGCTGGATATGGCCGCCCCTCTGAATTTTAGACAAATAGCCAGTGATCTGTTGCTCGGGAACGGATTGTGTGGTGGTCCTCACAGATTGCGAGTAATCAAACGACCCACCCGATTCGCCAGACTGCTCGAAAACAGCATGAAGGCGGGCGTCGACAGTGTACTGAGCAATGGCTTTGCTGACGGACTCAATGTTGTGATGACCTCGCTGGTTGCTGGTGGCCGAAGACTGAGGCTGGTGGTGGTGTTGCGTGCGTGTTGCCCGGCTCCCAGAAGCCATAACTCCGTAAATTTGCTACCTTTCTCAGAAAAGGTGATACCTTTGATTAGGTTTTGAAAAAGGGTAATGGAAATTGAGGAAGAAGAAGCTGCTCTGAAGCAAAATTGAGGAATTGGGAGAGTGGTGGGATCATGGAAAGTACGTGAGTGTTAGTGTTGCTCTGGTTTATTTGATCTAGTTCCTGACTGCTTCCCTGTCTGATGTTTTTCTTCATTCGGACACTGCTGAATGGAAGAAAAATGAAATATTAGTTTTTAATTACTCTTTCCATATAACACGACTTGGTGATGGTTAGTTTATGTTTTATAATACCACCAGCTTTTGTTGAAATCCAGGGTTTGGCAACGCATGTCTCCGATATTAGAGAAGTCATCTTTCTATTAATTAATAAGAAAAGGAATATACTCTGCGAATTGATAGTTATGGTTATGGGTTATATTTTTTAAATAAAAAAGTGTAAATAAAAATATTAAATTTTTATTTAAAATATTAATAATGTTAATTTTAATAATT